CCTAGACATGGCTGTAAGGGCAAGGCTGGCTGTCAATAGCTATAAAGACAAATTGCTCAGTCAGTAGCTAAGCACTTGTCAGCTTATCCATCTATCCTCTAAGGACAAGATCATTGTTTATTAGCCTTTGAATTGCTGTAACCACAGTCTGCAGGCTAATGGTTCTGACAGTGATGCTGTGGTTTTTCGGTTTGTTTCCTTTAATTACCATGCTTGCATCAGCAGATTTATGGTAAAGGATTTGGCGTTCACATCTTTATCAGAAAATTGGATTCGCATCTTTGTTTTAAAACTGTCCAGGGATTAATTCTACAAAGTCAAGATTTACAAACAAAGTGCAAATGTACTTATGCATTTCACTCTGGAGATATCTATATATTTAAAAAAAGTAGTGAACTGCATAAACCGTACATCAGCCTCTCATCTCAAGATTTTATAGGAGATTTGGTAAAAAAATATGATGTTCAAAATGATATTATGAGAGACACAATCATGAAAGAAAAAACAATTGTTAGTACACTGGACACAGGTATCTGCCTTGGTGATATGTCCAAGAAAACGCTGAGTATACATATATGCAACTCTAAAATACCATCCATCTTCTGGTAAAGTCACAGGACACAGGATATTGAAATGCAAATATTGGTTTTCTATCAAAATCGTTTACTGTGTTATGATAGAAAGTGCCAGTATATTGTTTTGCCTGCTTGCAACACCATTCTTTAGCATGTGTATATATAATGTTTGGTTAACCTATATCGCCATGGTGGTAGAAGATCTCCAGACTTGTCTTCTTACTTGGCAGAAAATCTTCATGCTGTAAAAAGGTATGGAAGGTTTCAAGACTGGAGTTATACCTATTGATTATTAGTGCAAGAGAACTTATGTTTTTATGAACCTGTGGTCCTACAGAATATACAATAGCCAAATCAAGATGAAAAGGTAAGGGGTCTACATTTCATAGTAGGGTAGGTTGAAGCATCAGGAAAAATTTCCAATATTGGAACCATGCCCTAAAATCTGATGTGTACATCAACTTATTGAAACCACCTCAGTATCAGATCAGACTGTTGCTCCCTCTGGTAGGACTGTTAATCTAAATTTATATCAATGGTATTGGAAACACTTTGTTAGCCACTTGTATATAGCTGTGTTATGGAGACTGAGCCATTTTATATAGTTTTGTATTGGATACTTCAAACTGCAAGATGTCACACATGGTGCAGGGTCATGCTTATTCTTCCAAAGTTGTGAAACATGTGGCTCTCCTTCCAAAGATATGGATAAACTCATGGTTTTCTTACAAACTTGTTGAACACTTGGTTTTCCTTTCTTTGGGACACTTGGTTTGCTTTCTGAAGTTGAAATCATGGTTTTACTTCTGAACTTGTTAAACAGTTGGTTTTACTTCTGAAGTTGTCTAACATAATTTTCCTTATGAAGTTGCAGAACACTTTCCTTATGAAGTTGCAGTTTATTGTTGGTGTTAGTCCTTGATTCCTTTTACTGTCTTTCTGTATCAAACTGGAATTCAAATGTTTTAATGCTTTGGTATATTTCTATTTCTATTTTACTGTGTTACTCCTTTTGTTTTGTGGATTGTACATGAAGAAAATGATAACATTGGTTATGTAAAAAAAACAATGAAGTGTAAATTTCAGCACAATTGTGTTATGTTACCATGGTTTTGGCAATAAACGTATTTCAGTTACTGACTGGTACAACATCAGCACTGGCTATACATGGTATAGATTTGATAGCAAGAACACCTGCCAGTTTATCCAGTAATGTCATTAGCTCATTATGTTACAAAGCTGTCTGACACAATCAGATGGTGGTCATGATCTGAACACATTTGGAAGCTTAAGGCTAGGCCAATGATAATTATATCTATTTATGAACTGTCACTTGTTCGAGGTAAACAAGATTATCTAACATCATTATTATATCTGTAACATGCTAAGCCTTGATATTAATTACCATGCCAGAAATTTGCTACAGCCTCTCTGCAGGCTTCTAAAAGGAGCTGTTCCCATCTTAAATTCAAGTAAATTTTAAGGAACTAAACTTCTCAATTTGAAAAAAAGAGAATCTAAAGTTTGGAATCTGCATTTCTCAGTAATTAAAGATACAGGAAATTAGAAAGAAGGAGAAAATTATATTTTTTCCCATTTACAGTGCAATTTTTTTCTAATATAATGCATAATCATTACATTAAAAATTAAATTGTTTCCTTGACATTATCAGAGAAATAAAGGATAGTATTTGGCCCTTGGACAAAGCCTGCAGCAACAAAGAATGATCTATAAGGCCTAGTGTTTTTTGGGTATATTGTAACAGAAATATTAGCAGCACTCAGATTTATTCCATCACACATAAAAATGTCCACATGAGTGGTTTGGAGTGTTTTGAAGTGTACTCTGGCAAAAACAGGCTTTGTCCATTAAGTTCTGTTGCTGTCCCTCCATGGTGATTTGAGGAAGCAATTTGCCTTTATGAGGACAAGGGGATTTACCGGTAGCTTGCTTTGACATTCATGTAGATACATCATCAAAACCTCATGATCAACCTCAGATGTAGAATGAATGTGTTTGTAATGAAAATGATAGTAAAGTGGATATTCAATTTATTAGACATTTTAAGCTAAACCCTTGTTATACTGTTATCATTCGCCCAGTAAACTAGTGGTGTTTTAAAAGGGTTGGGCAATACAAAGGAAGGTACCATAAAAAATGTCATCAAAAAAGGATATAGGGTACTACAAGTATATTGGGATAACAAATTATGTGGGAGTTATATATACCAATATTTACTGCTTTTTTACACTCTCTGTATATCGGACATTTGGAGTCCTCACATTTGGTTCTACAGCAACTTCAGAATCGAAATGCATGTAAAACAAGAAGGAATTGACCAAAAATTAATTTGAAATTCAAGCCATTGTAATTGAAAAGATTTTCTAATTTGTGAGTTTTTATAAGTGAGGAACAAAGAATGTATTTGCAATCCCATTGACAACAGTTATAAGATTACCATCACGATAAGATCACCATCAAGAAACATAGTAACCTATTTGAAACAAACCCGCGTAATGAGGAAATCTGTCAACCTAAATTCAGTGCCACTATATTTAGACTTTTCACTGTAGTGAAATAATTTCATCAAAGAAAAATAGCATTATAAATTTTTGTAAGCATAGTTGACCTCCGGCATAAAGTGGTCTTAGGTCGTATACTATATTTGAGTAATTTGCAAGGTGGCCTTGTCAACATGGATGCAATGCGGGCCCTTTGTACCTTGTTGTGGATCAGTGTCCCACGGTACATGTATGACAATGTATCAGTCTTAATTAAGCCTGTGACATCAGGGAGGTCTATATATAGGACAGCCATGAGCCAATGTGTCCTGTGACTGTTTACCAGAAGATGGATGGTATTTTAGAGTTTCATATATGTATACTCAGTGTTTACTTGGACATATCACCAAGGCAGATACCTGTGTCCTGTGACTATACCAGAAGATGGATGGTATTTTAGAGTTTCATATATGTATACTCAGTGTTTACTTGGACATATCACCAAGGCAGATACCTGCGTCTAGTGTACTAACAATTTTTTTCTTCTTTCATGATTGTTTCTCTCATAATTACATTTTTAACGCCGTATTTGTGAATAAGTCAGAAAGTAAAAAAATGATAAGTTAACAGTTGGAAATTGAAGTGTCTTGGTCAACCCTAGAATTATAAAAACCTTTGATTTTAGAATTAAGTGCAAATTTTAATTCTAATTAAAATAATGAAATGATACACATTTTCAAAATATCTCTGCAGAAAATGTGTGTTGCTTGTAAAAATAACATTTTGATATATGGTACATGTACATCCTGAGACATCAATAGTCGTACTGAAGTCAAGGTGTGTCGTGACCATTGGCCCAGACATCAGTCAACGTTTCCTCAATGTAAAGTAATAAAAGGAAAGGAACTTGGGCTTGTTATGTAAGGTCTATTAGTGTGTGAAATCAAGGGAAACTTTGAAATGAGGAAATTTGTCATAATATTATCAAAATGTACCACAATGTGGAAAAGTAAGCTTAATTATACCAGTCTGTCTTCCCTGTAAGATTTATCTGGGGTGACAGTATGCTGTAAGTGATCCCCAGGTTTGATTGTATCATATATGAAGTGTTTATGTTGTGTGATGGTAGTCACCCCAGACTGAGGTTTGTGACCTGACCTATTAACGTACCTGGTTAAGTCTACCCATGGCAGATGATTAACTAGAACAGTCGTTGTTATTCAACTTTTAAGTGCTAGAAAAAAAAATGTGCTTTTCTTTAAAAGTAACAAACAATGTCTGTTTTGATTTTGATGTTGCTTGCCTTGCGTGTGCCTTTTTAAATTGTTTGCTGCACTAGAAACAAATTATCTCCCATTATATATGTCTTCCACTTAATTGGGCAATTGATGTATTTAAAGAATAGTATTTTGGTTATATTTTGTCAACTGTTATGAAATCAAAATGCCATAAAGTGATGTTTGAAGTGACTTATCGTGTTTTAATCTGAAATATTACAAAACTAAATGTTTGTGCATGCATGCTTAAAAACTTAAAGAGCCCTAGGTATTCCAGCCACATTGGGGACTTGTAGTTTGAACAGGTTTTTTTTACCTGAATAAATGTTTGCCTTTGATTTTCTTAAAAATAATCTTGCCCGGTGTTGAATGCACACTCTATTCGCATATGTGCAGAAGAAAGTGAAAATAGCAAAGTACTAGAACTTCATTTCTATGGTGGATGTGGAGAGAAGCCCCCTTCCTTTTCTTTTTCTTTTTTCATGTCAAATGATATTTCTTCAAATTTCACCGTCTCTGTTCTGATGTTTGCCCCTTTATTCAATCGTATTGCCACTGGATACTACTGCTACCATCGTAAGAAACTGATATGTACCTCAATTCAGTAACACATGGATCACCGACATTGATTCTCTGTCTGCTTTCAGGAAGGGCAGAAGAAAGGACAAAGACTCTCCGACACCTCCAGCACAGGAAGAGCCGAGACAGTACCTCGAGGATAGTTGTGTGCGGGAGCGAGTAACCGAGGCAGATTTCTACAAACTTGTCAGCTTGCCTTCCTGTCTAGATTATAATGAATGGCTAGCAACACATAGTGAGTTTTCTACACTGTAACGAAAGGCTACCAAACACAATGAATTATCTGCACTATAATTAATCGCTAGCGAGGCATAGTTTGTTTCCTGGACATTCATTAATGGATAGCTCATAACAAATGGTTAAGGGACAAAGTAATGTTATGTAGACTGGAAAGATTGGCTAGCAACACATATTGAGCTTTCAAGACTTAAATGAATGGCTATAGTTATGTTGGCGAGTTTTCTAGACTACACATACTTAACCATGATGAAAGTATACCAAATACACACTGAGTATCACAATTGGCTAGCAACAATGATTCTATAGTAAACATTCAGGTATTCCAAACCAGAGAAAACCATTTTTTTGTAGTCAGAAAAATAAATGACTTTCTATTAAAAAAATTAAGCCCCCCCCCCCCCCCCAAAAAAAAGAAAGAAATGATACTTTTTGACAGAAGCTACAAGAGTCTTTGGAAAAATTAAATTGCCTTGTATTTAACTACCTAGAAATATATGTAAATTCTCCCGAGACTGCTGGAAGGGTTATATGTCTATACAAGGGCATGTGTGAACCATCGCTGGAGATGGGGGCATACTTCTACTCCATTAATCAATGAATAATGGTAAAAAAGGTTGTACAGTTAATAGTATGTAATTTAGTAAACAAACAAGTGAGCTAAAAAGATATGCATTTGTATTAATGCATCTAGCAGGTAACAACATCTCATCAATTTTACTGGTATTTAGACAAAGATCATGGAAAAGAATAGACACTGGACTTCATGAAAATCATGCAACTAACAGGAACACCTATCATTATTAGTTGTTAGTTAGTGGAGGGTCAAGGTGAAGAATGAATGTGTAAATCATTAAATCATGAAATTATGAAAGCTGCATGCACATCTAACAAGCAACATGGCATTGTCCAGACTGTAAGTGATTACCCACAGGGTCAGAGTATCATGTCACATCTTCTGAATAGATCTAGATTTTAATCAGATACAATTCAATGTATCTGGCTTATGAATTACATAATGACTAGCTTTACGGCTGTAATTTATACCTAATTAAATTCCTACTGATATGCTGGTTAGTTATACATCCATAGTGAACTAGCTTTCATATGAGATCTGCAATACTAAATTCAGATGTAAAACTGTTACTTTTAAACATCATATGAAGTTCCGATTGTAACAAGGTCAGAAACTGGGTCATTTCCTTCTAAAAAAAGATTTTGTGTTGCTCCCAACAATTAAAAGTTGTTAGCTTTGAGGATTTGAGACTCTGTTATAGTACTTCGTCATTGTGTTTAAAGCTTAGAGTGACATTGCAGATTTTGTGGTAACAAAGAGAAAATCTACACAAAACAGAAAGATATTTGAGATGTATGAGATGTATCAAATCATGACATGTAGTAAATAGCTATGTGACTGTGTTTATGTTTGGCAAAGTCTATTGACAAGAGAAAGGAAAAAATATCTAGCAAATCCAGTCAGATCTGAATTTGGCAGTTTGATTTACCGCTCAAGGTCTTATATATCTTCATTATTCATAAGATATCAGATGTTTAGATTCCTTTCATTTGTAGTTTATTTACAGGTCAAATCTATTGTTGTTTCCCCTGGGGTTAACGTTTGCATAAGATTGAATTAAATTGCCTACGTCAAGGTGTAAAATGAGCTGAATAACATATATATTGTCAACCTAGCACGTCATCCAGTATCCTGTTTATCATTGGTTAAATTTAAACCGACATAAAAAGAAAATCAAATTCAATTATGGTGTTTTTTCTCAATTCCCTTTTTTTGGATATTTTTTGGAGCCAATAGGCATTGAGGTCCAGACATGTTTCTTCCAAAAAGTCAATAAAATAGATATGTATCATTTCAGTCTTGATAAATATTTTGAAATTCATATTGTTAGATCTTGACTTTGATTGAAATTCATATCCCAACCTGTTTTGATATCTGATAAAATCATTTTAATAGTAGGTATAGGATCTAAATTTCAGGGTTTTAAGTAAATTTAACATTTATTGTTGTTGTCTATGAAATTTCGTTGTCAGAGTAATACAACTGTAACAAATAAAAGAGATTATATCGCTGTAAGTACCCGACATATTAATAGGTTTAAAGTCCTCTTTTAATTTCATATGGAGAATACAATTATTTGACAAAGTATTCAAATTATTGTGGGTGATTATGGAAATAACATTCACATTTCCTAACAGTTCTGTATTTCATCACACAAGTTTTAAAGTTATTTTTAAGGTAGCTTGATAAGGCTTAAAGCAATGTTTGTTAAATATTGTATGTGAGATTGAGCTGCCTCTTTCACGTTGATAGGACTTTTAGATTAGGTAGTGATTCATAGTGTTAGAACTCAATCCTGTCGAAGCAAAGTTCATCTCCGACTTACATAAGGCCAAATAAAAAAAAATCATGTTTCCGCTAGCCCTACTTACCCTAGATTTTTATGTCTGCCCTGAAGTTTTTATTGGCATTAAGTGACATGCACTGTCAGAACTCCTGCTCTATATAAGAAAAGTAAAAATATTTTCAAAAAATAAATAAAAAATTGCCTACCTACCTCCCCCTTTTTTTCTGAAGATGATAGTAGAAACATTGTAAAAAATGTTTGGCCTAATAGGGAAAGGATGTGATTAGAGGAGCAAACATCCAGGATGTTTACCTGGCATTTACATGTTTCTAGTTTATATTAATATGCACGATCTGAAAAATCCTTAACATATATACATTAAGCAAAATAAACAGTTTTCATCTGTCGGGTAAAAAGTCATTTCTGTAGGCGCCATAGCTATAAATTGTCTTTTCATTATCTCCAATGGAATTTGGTATTTTATTTTTATTTTTAAATTTAATTCAGTTGATATACTGAGCAGAATTTTGTATTATGGAAATCCTAGGGACCGTGAAAAGTCAAGAATCTGTTGACAATAGACTGTTACACAGAACCAAGTTATCAATGTGTTATGCAGCACACTTCCCACTAATCCGTTATATACTGTATACATAATTACAAACCACAAACTGTAAATGAGAGAGAAAACAGATGTGAAAGAATGCACAGATGGAAGTGTAACAAATAAAAATTCAAGATATTTAGATATCATAATAACATGTAATTTGCATTGAAGTTTTTTCATCAAAAATAAAGTTTGAGGACTGAATTCAAAGGTGATATCATGGATCTCAAATCCAAAACTGTGTACCATGTGGAAATTTGAAGATATTTAGATGATAAATTAGCATTTATTTGCATTGAAGTTGTTCTTAAAAAGAGTTTTAGTGTAAGTTCAAGTTGCATTGTCTTGAAAAAATAGGTTCAAGGACTGAATTCAAAGGTTATGTTGTAGAACTTCACATGGCGTTAAAATTGAAGTTTTTTTTCATTAAACATGCATGCTATTTGTTACTGCTGTATACTATATAAAGAATGATACTAAACAACGTTTTTTTTATCATTTCAGCTTTATCATTTTTCAATCATATAACATTGATCTACGGTGTAATATCTGAATACTGTACATCTGACGGATGCTCATCCATGTCTGCGCCAGGCAATGTGTAAGTATACAAATTGATGGTCAGGTAACACTGTAACATAGTAATTCTACATGGCAGTTATGTACTTCTATAATATCCTGGTCACGGACCAATTTTTCCCCCCCTTTATGTCTGATATGTTCCATATTGTTTTGTTCTGTATGCAGATTCAGAATAAAATTGTCTTGAGTATTTGTTCCGATCTCATCATACTGATATTTGTTGAAACATTTAAATTTTTCAGAAAAAAATGAACATACTATTTTATTCAGAATGTGTAAGTATATAGATAGGAACTTCAATAAATCTGGTCAGGAAAAACTGGAACATTTATTTATGGGGTAATGCTGCATGGCAGTTTCGTATTTCTGTAATACCCTTGTCATATGGCATCATATTTTTTTCTCTTTTACATTTACTTTTACATTAACTTTACAAACCTGAAGAGCCCTGTGAAGGGTGAAAGCAGCTAGTTTTTTAGTCAGTCGTTAAATCTTTTTTTTCTATAAATATTAACAGATATTTTATACCCTGTATTAGTTCGACGCGGAATTAATAAGAATTATGCCATTTAGGACAAAGAAAATGTTTCAAAATGATAGGGTGATTTCAACTTTACCATGTCATGTGCTTAAAACAAAGTTCAACTGTAAAGATACCTTTGGGTACAACTTTTTTCAGTAAACGTCACTCTAATTTAGGATGTTTGTATATCTTTATATCCGGAGATAAATTGACGTATATTTTGTGTCCAAAGATTGAGGATATAGTCTATCTGAAACATTTAAATAATGTACTAGATAAGTCTGATTACAGCAGCAAGTCAACACGGAAGATATGAACTGAGGTTATTTGTTACGTCATGTTAACAGCTTGATAGGATAAGCTGAAATTTTTCATTAAGTATAAGACTTTGTCATTATAGATCTTTCATGAGAAACATGTATAATGCGTATAGTACATAATATATGAATTTTAAAAATCATATAAAAAAAACCAAAAAACTTTTAGTTATACATGTATTAAAGCCGTCGTTCTAAGATTAAAAGACACTACGAAGAGAATAAAGGATAATTTTGACTATTTGTGCTAAACTTCGTCAGGTCTTTGAAAGTAGGGTTTATAATGAAAAGCATTGTACATGTGATGCTAGGAGGTAAAATACATCAGGAGGTAAATGGCTGTGTACTAGAGCTTGTGACTTGTGATGTCGGCACACTTTACTATTGCATATATGGTCCAGGTAGAGTGGGGCAAAATTTACAGTTTTATTATGGGCGTGTTTACAAGATATGATAAATCTGTTTACTTTTAACACACTCTAAATGATAATACTGATGAATGGTCCTTGACCTAGCAAACTTTCGACCCACAGATGACCTTGCTGTAGAAAATACAGGCGTTTGTTAATACAGGTAAAAATCTTGTGAAAATAGGAAATGCTGTTTACCTGGTAGGTAAATACTTTTGTGCAGTAATGATAAGAAAAGTGTGTAAGTGATATCTCATAACTAGAACAAAGATCTGTTGGTCTGATAAGGTCGCGTGTCATAGTGGTTTGGTTCATCTTAGAAGGTAAATAGTGTAATGTGACCTTTCAAGGTCGAAGACAGTCAATCTGAAACAGGAGAACAGTAACATGGTGTTTAAGGTAACTGAAGACTTGTGTCATACACAAAATCTTATTTACCATACAAGTCCAGACATTTTATATTAACAGTACACACCAAGATCCGCCCAAGGTTTTCCTCAAGTGTGTCCAGATTGCTGTTATGTAAATTGTCTCTATTTGTAAGCCCAGTACTGGGGAGAGCTGAGACAAATGAAATGCCTTATTGTTAGAGCTGACAGGTGCCCCTAGCCTTTTCTCTGTGTTGCTACAACATTCACCAAACCAACTGGGATGAATATTCCTTACTCTATATGGCTGGACTAGCTTTCTCTCTATAACTGTTGGGGCTTTATTCTTCCACAATCCACTATCCATGAACAATGATGTGTAGACGAAGATCATCTCTGTGGTGGGTCTGGTTACATACATCTTAACTGGTCTTTGTAGATTTAGTGGATTGTAGTCACCTTCTACAGCTGTGTCACTCTTGTTAACTTTCTATCATATTTAGATTGACATTTTAGACCCTTGTCAGCAAATTAAAATGGACGAAACCTTCTATGGTGATGTATCTTTGATAAGTCAAAGTAAATTTCATGTATTTTGTTTATGGGTTTTATGGCACATTTATGATTTGAAGAAAATCAAATTCCGCCAATTTTATAACTGGTCGTGAGTGTACCAATTGTATGAATAAGAAGTATAAATATATCGAAAACAAAATAACTTCATAACAGAAGTGTCTAAAATATCAGAGATTGAATCTTGTTCTGATTCAATAAAGATAATTAACAGTACGTTACAGGGGTGTCTGACATTCTGCTACCACTAGCCCTCCATTACTAGGTCATGGTACTGGCGGTAGATCAGTGGTTTTTCTCCGAGGACACTGGCTTTCCTCCACCACCAAAATCTGGTACATCCTTAAATGACCATAGTTGTTAATAGGACCAAACAGTACATGTACAGGATTGAACACAGCTTTAAGGTAACTGGACTTTGTGTAATATTGTCCTGGGCTGAAAAGGTCATTTGATGAAGTTAGTTGAAGTTGGTGATAATAAATTCATTATAAGATAGAGGTATCTATAACTAAAGCCGAAGTACTGTAACACTGTAGATAATGTGACTTGTCACCAACAATGTTGTACACTTATCTTTTATAAGGATTTAGGAGATGGACCTTGATCAGGGAACAGGTGTTAACTAGACCTTCAGCTTCAGTGTGTAAATAAACATGTCTGTTCTGATGGTGTTGGCATTTGCATTGTCCAGTATCAGTTACACAGGCCATAAAAGTTTCAAGATTGTATTTATCATTGTGGCACAAATGAAGGCTAAGCCAGTCAAATGTCAAAGAAAAGTCAAGATCATAAACTTGCACCAAGGTCAGGGTTACATTGACTACTACAATGTACAAATATTTAAGTTATTAATAGATTACCACAGCTTTTATTCGGGTAGGAATTGGGGTTGAAAGTAGGCCAAATTCTGACAAAAACCTGAACATTTCCCAGTCTTACCTAATATTCTACAGACAAACGCTACCGGCTAAACCTTAGCAATGAGGAAATAGTTTTATTGCTGATAATAATCTCATAAAAAAATAGCTGTCTTTTCATTCTTGTATTATCTCATTAAAAATTAGCCATCTTTGTGTATCCTTGTTACATGTATTATCATTTCCAAGCCGTTAAAATGCCCTGAACTCAATTGTTATGTGGAGATACTGTAAGGTCAAGGCCATAAGCCTATGTCAGGATCAAGTTGCTATGGTTACTACAGATATAGATTGCAATTATAATGTCAATATGAGAAATGTCATGGACATGTGTCAGTATCAGGTGAAAGCCCCCACGCCATCCCTACAAGGGTACAACACACCATCGTGTTGTAAATATCATGATCATATTTTGTTGGTCATCAGTCAAGGTAAGAAAGGTTACAGAAGTATTGACAATGTAATGTTTGCCAATGCATCACAGTGTTAACATATTGAACTGCACAGTGGTCTAGTGACAACACAGGGAGGCCAAGATGACACCGAAAACAGATCCATCTCCATGCCTAGCCCTTTGTGTGCCGTCTCTAGAGACAAGATTAAGTCCTGGAAATGGACAATAATGTATATACACAATAATGTGTAGGACTTTGGGGGAGAATGGGGAGGGAGGGAGTATGAGGTGGGTGGGAGTGGATTGAGCGGTCTGTTTAACCCTGTCACAACCAGTTCCTAGAATCCCTATACACTGTACTGCTGTGGAATTGATTAGTATTTATAGCACAGCATCTGGTGATATTGATATCATACAAGGATCTTTTTATACATTGTGATATTAGCATCACAGACATAAAAGTTTCATGACTGGAAGCTGAATCTCATCAGTTTTCATAAACTGGATATCGGCAATAAATCCACCAGCGAATCACGATGAATACACAACCATGTCGACATATCATAGATATTGACAACCCTGGTGTTGTACCCTGTTGTTGTATATAGATGCCTGAAGTTTTTGTGTACATGTATTTACCCCTCTCTTTACAATGATTCTGTCTCCTCCATATCATACAAGCAACACATGAAACGACGGACCAGTTTATAAAGTGGTTAATACAGATTTGCCAATCAAACCCCTATACTAGGTACATGTATAAAACACATCTGTGTTCTGGAACTTGGAAACATCAGAAATTTGTAGCAGCTCATCAAATTTTGATTTTTTTTGCAATTTTAGACTTTCAGATACGCTTTAAAACATGTGCAATTTTGAAAAGTCTAATTCCTTTTCTGAAATATAATTGTATGGTGTTATCTGAAAAACCTTCAATTTCATTCAAATTATTTTGACACAGTTTTATATAGAGCTTAAATTGTATGTGCTCTGGAAAATTAGTAAAATACAAGTAGCACAACTTGTACAAAACCTTCAGTTTTCCAACTAAAGTCAAGTCAAATAAGTGTGAAAATTGGTTGAATATTTAGTTTATGCATGTATTTACAAAAAATGAAAACCAAATTAAGTTGACGATTGATTGATAGGTTTTACATCCGCTTCACAACCGAGTAGTTCCGTTATCCAGCAGATGATATTTCCAAATTAAGTGAGAGGGAAAGCTTTATTTAGTCCTCATATGTCTGAGCGTACTGTAACATTCTCTCATATTTTATTAGGATAGACAGGTTTTTGGTGTCACATGCCTGAATGATCCACTTGCAAAATTAGAAAAAAAGCGTTTTATACATGTCTGTGTTACATTCTAAGTGTGAAGTAATAGAGACACTTTACAGCTTGTGATTTATAGTTAGGAGTGTTCTGTCATTATAATAAAGTTGTAGGTAATTTTCAGTTTCGGTTTCAGATCTATTATATATCAGGTACCCTGTGTTATAATTAGACAAACTTAAAGCAAACCTATCTAGATGGGCTTTATGATGTATGAGGCACATAATTATGTAAGGATCGGCACTTATATTTCCCATCTTTATACAGTAAGAATAGGGAACATTTCATGCTTTTACTATGTAATAACCACTTGTGTGGTGTGGGGTAAATTTATCCTCTCGTGCTGTATGGGTAAAGGAGGAAAATTCTAATTCTATCTATGCATGGAGGTGCATGGATGATCTAAAATCATCCCTATTTAATTCCTAAAAAAATTGAAACTATGATAAACACCATCTAAATATCCCAAATTGAAGGTAATACAAAGTTTTCTATTGATAGTAAGTCTAGTGGTAGGACGCCGGGCTCGTGACCGAAGGGTTGCGGGTTCGAGTCGCGGCACGGCACTGTGTTGTATCTTTGAACAAGATACTTTACTCCGCTTGTTCCAGTCTACTCAACTGTAAATGAGTACGTGGTTGGGCAGTGCTAGAATTGTAGAATGCAAGCTGTGAGTGCCGAAATGGCAGCACCGCCTGTGCTCCCCAGGGAGTTAAGAGAGATATGGGCTGGTTGCAAAGGCCCTATAACCACGGATAATAATTTGTGAACCGTTTTGAGACGACCTACGAACTAGGTTGTGATAAAGCGGTATATAAGAACCTCAAATTATTATATTATTATTGTTTTTAAATAATGTGCAGGGATAAAATTATGAATTTTCAATAAGTGTCACTTAGGGTCTTTTATATCATTTAACCTTCACCTCTCTATAACACTGTAGTTTTATCACCATACTGTTTCACACCATTTAATTACAACCCCCTAAAACTGGAAGTGCTACGTATACAGTGCAGTAATTAATTCTGGTATTGAAAGGTAAAGAAAAACAGAATTCAATTACAGAATGGAGATAATAAATGTGAAAGTAGTTCTTTTATATACATGTATCTGATCTATTAAGATGCTGTATGCAACTTTTCATTGAATATTTCAGGCAATTTTTATGGTATGATGAAAAAGGCAAGAAATACAAGTACTCTGCTCCCCAGTATGTAGATTTCATCACAACCTGTATGCAGAAGGAAATATCTGACGAAAGTGTCTTTCCTACAAAATATGGTAAGAACAACTATAAATTAAGATTTTACCTGTACCAGAAATGTGGTAATTACAGGTGTATTCATCTAAGACGCTTTCATTTGTTTATTTTATCAAAATGTTTTGTAAATATTGAGAAATTATAGGCGTCATACCAGGAAATATGTCTACAGATCTCAATAAAAGAAAAAGTTGTTGGAAGACATAAACCTGTGGAGACCATTAACTGGGTTTTGTATTGAAGGATCTAGAAACCAGACTTTAACAAAAACTTTTACATAATAATCATGTTTGAGATGATAATATACAGATTTTGTTATAGTTCCCTGTCAATTTATATGAAATTCTATCAAGTGCTTTACAGAAAATAATTTGAAAAACCTTTTTTAGGATAAAAGTAGAGCGACTATTTAAGCCAATATACTGCCAAACAGTATATATAAAGACATCATGGGATCAGATGAAAAGCTACGTACAAAATCTCATCAAGGATATATTAGAACATATTACATTAAACCAAAAATAGTTATGAGAGTTGTTAACATTTTAATTCAGAAAATTCAAAGAAACAAGTTTTCTAAATAATGGCATAGTGTCAAAATCTTGAGACTCGTTAACATTTTAATTCAGAAAATTCAAAGAAACTATTATTTTTGTATATTTCAGGACATCCATTTCCAAACACTTTTGAAACATCTGTGAAGAAGTTCCACAAGTATCTGTTCCATATAGTTGCGCATATATACCACGCCCATTATAGTGATGTTGTCACGCTGGGCTTACACGGACATCTAAACAGTCTCTTCACACACTTCACCGTGTTTAACATCAAGTTCGACCTGATGGAGGACAAGGAGACCGATATATTGCAGGACCTAATGAAGGCCTTGATAAAACAGCTTCCCGATCCTAATCAAAATGAAGGCACAGACAGTAATGAAATCTCCCGAACATAGCAGGCCACAAGAAATAGTTTATTGTATGTGTATAGTTTATATATAATTTACTCATATCCTGAAGGATCTCAACAATGTTATGTTGTACTGTGAGAGAGTTAATGAAGGTCTTATACTGATCGATGTTCAACTATAGGTGCATATAGATATGTTTCAGATATCGTTACAACTTGACCTCTCTACCCTAAGTGTGTGTATATGATATAATTGTTGCGTACTGTGATTGGGGTTACCCAGGCTACAGTGACAAGGGATTATCCAAAAAACTCTGTCAAAGGCATGTCTCGTTGAAGGGAGACAACTGAGAGAAAAAAGCTAAAACTGTTGCTGTAAAATTAAGCAGAGACAAAGTGCTATATGAAACAGATCTGTGCTGCTATTAACTGACCGGTCATTGCGCCCTAATTTACCATTTACTGACGTGCTTTCATTTGTACATACGGACAGAGTGAATGATGCTGTGTGGACATCAAACTACAAAGAACTGACAGTTGTATTTATTCTATGGTAAATATTCAACTTCATGGCGAAGTTCTCTTTCTTCGTTAAATGGCATGTTATAATATATATATCAATGTATATGGATAGATTACATTTGTCAAAATTGTTACGAGTAACACCCAAACACTTGTTGGTTGTTCCTGCTTGTGTATGAATACACGTGTAAAACTCTGGTATGACTTGATTGTGTGGCAGTATAGATTCACACAGGGAAGGATGATTAGTGATGCTTAGTATTGTAGGTCTTAGAATGTGTGTTGAGTTTGGTGGGAATTAACACCAGGCTTATATGATGGAGGTGATTTGTGAGCAAAGAAAATACCCGTGAGATTGGAAGTGTTAGCTGTTGTGTCAAATCTAGTGTAGTGTTCAGAGGCGTAGGACGATAGGAAATTGTGACGAAACACCTTTAAGGTGTAAAGTTGGTGATATTTCTACCTACAACAAAACGTAGAGGTAGTGGTATTAGTGTAAAGATGTCAGCCCTTGGTAAATACCTCAGAGTTTTTCCATATTGACATCCTGTATTAGCATTGACTGAAGTCATTGTCCCATGATTACCAAAGTTAGCTACTCAAAGAGTAGCTTGTAAAATCAAAGAGCATAATTGTAAGTTCAGAAAATATCAGTTCTTTATACAGACTTTTCGATTGTAACTGAAAACAGATAGACTTAGGTTACAAAAGTGGTGAAATAATAAATAAATTTTGAGTTTAAGATTGTAGGATGTTTTGTGTAGGAAAACATTTGACAAGAAGACATTAATTTGGTGCATTTTTTGTTTGTTTTTGTTTTTGTAAAATCGAACTACAAACCAGTCTGTATGTACAATACATTACAACACATCTGAACTAGATGAAGCACGCTTTATATGAACACCTGTTTATTGCTTACCTGTGACAAGATAGTACTTTTTTCATAGGTTGAACATTTCGAAAAGTATTAAATTTCGAAAAGCATTGCAAATTAAACCCGGGTATTTTTATTTAAAACAGTGCCCGTGTTTGCTGATAGATGTATAACAAATTTCAAATTTAACGCTTAATTGTCTCCCTCACAGATGGTTTCTCATACCCTAGACAAAGAAGTCCAACAAAACCCAGTCTAGATTTTTCTGTGTTGTTAAATCTGATATCACAATCACCTGAAAGTTATTTGTAATTGTGATGTTATGCCATATTTTGATAATATTAAATCAAACAAAAAGCTCGAAAATAGAGCAACAAAATGCTATTTGTTTCATTGATACAAGTAAAAGGATCACATACCTGTTTATAATCAGTGCTGGTTGATGTATGTCTTTATCACATCTTAACTGAGATCAATTCCATATCATACCTCAGGTGAAATAAATTGATGTTGATCATTGATCCTGATAGATAATATTAGTAACACTGAGTGTATGTTGAACCATCTACCACATCTACACTGCAGCATGAACATTACACAAACAGTGCCATATTCACTAAGGATACACATTTTACAATACTCTGTTATTGATAACTTAGATTTTATTTTATGATATTTTTTTTAAAAATATTTTTGAACATATTTCAATATGTCGATTTGCTTGTTTTGGTAAAAGTCAGTCTTTTAATTATATAATTCTCTCTCAATTTTTTTCATGTGAAAAAGACAAATAATTTTTTGTTTCTTTATGTATTTTTTTTTTTTTTGTCAAATCATCCTTTCTTTCTCAACATTATTGTGCAAGAGGAGAAAGACGATATCTTATATATAAATATGTTTCTGGACACAAATGATTCAGTCATGTCTGAGTTTGTTTTATTTTGTGTGTAGCTTTCTATGTTGTTTTATTTGTCATTTTTCAGCAAAGCAATTGTATTTGATTCTGTTATAACTCTACTTTCTGGATATTATCAGTATTCTGTTTTGTTCAAAAGACTTAATTATCATTCAGTCCAAATGTTTTTCTTTTTTAAATCTGTCAATCCAAAATACTTGACAACATACGTAGGTGAAATGTATAAAAAAAACATCCTTAAATTGAGATTATTGTTTGTGTATAAATCACCACTACTCAGAGATCATGAGTAAAAGTCTGTGGGAAGTTTCAGGGAAAGTAAGCCAGTGAATATGATAGGGGAAGGATAAGGGTAGTTAGTGCCTGAAGTCCTCTGTGGAAAGAGTAAGGGGAACTAAGAAGGGAACCTCATGTGGATAGGATAAGGGGAGGTAATCCAGGAGTCTCTTGTAGGTAGGATAAGGGGGGGTAAGTCAGGAGTCCTGTGGGTATAATGGGAAAGTAAGTCAGGAGTGCTCTGTAGGTAGGATAAGGGGAGATAAGCCAGGAGTCTCCCGTTCCAAATTAGTCGATCCTGACTGTTAGGTGCTTCAGGTAAACATCAAAATATAATGCAATATTCCATGTATGATGTGAAGTGTTGTGCTCCTGGTAGGAAGTTGTTGCTGTAGCCTACACACATTGTAACTACTAATATTTCTGTGATGTCATCTAGTCATAATGCAGCAGCACGCGTTAGAAGTACATTATATGTGTGTGCTTGCTGTGGTGCATAAGTACACTGTACACATAAAGTAACAGTATAACTTAGTAGATAAATCATAATCACTTATTATTTACAACCACAACAAAATCATTTAAATACCAGGTACTTGAGATCTAAATAACGTGTAGGTAGGGAGACTATGGACATATGTTTTTGTATACAATGTATATTATTGTTCATTTACAGTAGAGTTATGTACCTACATGTTCCATTAATAAATATGTTCATATTTGATGATCACATCTAGTATATCATAAAAGTTGTTCTCAAATACATCATTATATTATACATTGAAGATACGTAGAAATCACACTGGATAATTCACATCAAGGAACCCTACAAATTGGTGTAAACTAAACAGGGATATAAGCAAACTAGCATCTCCTTGTTAGTACTAGTATCTACATAAAACCATGGCGATTAGTACATTGTACCATAAACTGCAGTAATAGACAATAGTGTCATGAACTACAGTGATAGCTGATGATAACTACCATGAATTAGTAGCTGTTGATCGTACCATAAACTCCAGTAACAATTGATGTTTCCATAGCTAGAGTAAAATTTGACAGTACCATGAACTACAGTGAAAGTTGATGTTACCATAGACAAGATTGATAGTTGATAGAACCATGAACTACAAGTACCAGAGTACTTTTGATGAATTAACTCATTCACCCCTGAAATTTCATGATGAACTATTCCAACCTTTGAATTGGAAGAGCACAATGTGTCTTCAGGGGTGAATGAGCTAAAACTTGTTAGCCCAGTCAAAGTTGATGTTTGCATGACTGTTACAGCTAAATGAAAACTTGATTCAGCGATTCTTGTAAATTCGTTTATGATCAGCATGGGAAATTTTGTCTGCTTATGTTCAAATACGTGAGGTGTAGAAAAAGTTATAGTTCTACGTGTCCTGTCTACAACTGTGTTCATCGACAGGTCTGATACAACACCCTTGTACCTCAATAGGTCAGTGAAAGTTTTGAGATATAAGTTATAGGACATGCTTTAGGATATTTAGGACATGATATAGGATATTCAGCAATAATCTATTTGAAATCCAAGAACATTTATTTGCTCATTTTAATGCATTCAAAATCCTGTGGCATTTACCTAATTCAAAGTCCATTGATGGTTAATTATGATCAGGGGGGTCTGCTTTCATATAGTTGGATGTTGGAAGTGATGGCAATTTTTAATGCTCAAAAGAAACAGAATTAGGCCACTGTCACCGACATCAAGGAAAACTGTTAGACAATAGATTATCTGGTATAGACATTTTCACACAACAGGGCAAAAATTACTGCACTAATTACAAAATAGAATTTAATGGTTAAAGAATATAATTGTTTCAGTAAGGACTTTCATGGTACCATTAGGACGTTCCTGATGTTCCTAATGATCATCATGATCACAGAGATTTATTTAACAACGGGCAGTCAAAACAGGCATACATTGCAGTGATGGAGTGGTACAGAATATCTGGGTTGACCTTTTTGAGAAGTTCAAGTTCATGAATATGTGTTTCCAAATCAAATTACTGTAGTAGAAGAGTAAAATGAATGTTAGAGATTTTCTTCACACATATGTGATGTTATTTTATACATGTTGGGACAGTTTTTGTTGCATGATGTAATTTTTGCCAAAGTAGAATTGTTTTCATTATTATAAGATTATTATTATTGTAATTGTTTTCCAGAGAAGTATTCTGTGTGTTGTACTGTTGAAGTACCGAGAAACCCCCCACAAAACACAAATCTAGGCAATCAGCCTCACTGTTGCTGGTACAACCTGTGACCTTGTCACAATGCAATAAAGTTTATAGATTGAAGAGTTTCCTGTTTTTGTTTGTGTGATAAGCTAGAAGTGATATAAAGAAAGGAATATAAGACTTTTTCATGTTCATGAAACCGTTCTCGTGCTCAAGCATGGACTGTGCTCAAACTAACTTTCCTGTAAATCATTGACCAAATAAGAATTTCTCATTAAATTAATAGCCAGAACAAGAAATTCAACTTGAGCACAAAATCAATGCTTGAGCATGAGAATGGTTTCATGAATAGGGGCCCAGGGGTGTAGGAAAGGGAAATTCTACCTGAGGGATTTCCAAATTTGGTAAAACCCGAGTTTCCCTATTCTACATTCTTGGGCATGAAAGAGTATTTTTCTCTCATTCCAACTACCAGAATAAGCTAGAAACCATGAAAATGCGTTTGGACTGGCTACCATTTTGAAAATATCAAATTTTCCCCCTGAGCTTTTTTGAAGAAAATGAATTTGTCGGCGAGATTTAGTATACCCAATCATTTGCAAACAAAGTTTGCGCAGCAAAAATAATCTCATCTTTCTAACATGTACAGTGAATATATGGTAAAAGGTTTTAATTTAAACAAGTTGCCTTTTCTGCATTGCGGCATTGGTGTTTTGTTTTATAACTTCGTGATCCACGTCATTTCCTACACCCCTATCTTACGCACAGGGAAATGAGGGAAAAATCCTTCCTCATGGCAGATAATTTGGATTTACCTGATGTATATCTCATGTAGTAAAATTAATTTAATTATTTAAGTAAAAATCTTGATTCAGATTCGATCTGTCAAAAATGCATGTTAGGAATTTGCAATTAGAAATGATATAAATTTATATACTAAAGGCATGATGCATTTAAAAATCCATTATCAAACTTTTTTAAATCTCCTACAACTTGACATCCTGTAATTACACCTGCAGCAGTTTTAACTGGTTTCATAAGGCTACGTTAAATTTAATTACACATTGTCAATACCCAATAGTTTAGATAAACTTATGCTCAAACTAACTGGAGTCAGTAGAAGGGAAGTAACTCATGATAGACGAGAATGAGTGCTACAAGGAGAACAGATACATGTAATACATGTAGCGATACAAAGAGTTCTGTATCAAAGTTATATACATTATGCATATTTTATACATTGCAGTTAATTTTATATCTTACCACCAGAAACAATTTACATCTTATAACACAGTATGCATTACGTATACTCATTCATACTTATTCTCTCAAAAGTAGATGTCATAGCTTAGGATGTTGTATACAGTTAATAAGTTCAATCTAAGCTAAAAGCAAAAAATAGGAAATTATTCTGGTTTCAAAGTAAGACAACACTCAACTATGCCTTATAGATATTTGTTGGATTTAACTTACTTTAATCAGGGATTTTCAAAGTTGGTAAGGGTCATTTTAATATTCCAAAAAGCTATAATTCAGATTTTCCAATAAAAAAAAAATGTTTTAATATTTTCACACTTTTGGACCTAATTATATATATATATAAATCAGCATGAAAATAGGTCGCCTGTCATTTAAAAAAACCTTGATACCCCTGATTTAAGCATGATACTGGTTATTACGCCTATTGGTTGTTCAGGGAAATTTTTTGAAAGAGTTTATCAAACATTCATGTGACCTTGAAAGTTGGTCAAGGTAATTCCTCTGATCACAATTGCAAACCCTTCCAGCAGCACAATACAGATTATCTAGAAGTCGTTTATACGTTTCAATAGATTCGACCCCAATGATCTTGGAAGAGTGCCAAGGTCTTCACTCAAACACACTTCATACTCATAGCGCTTCATGCCAGCATGCTAAATATTTCTGTGGGTATTTTGGTTAATCAGAAGAAGTCATTTCAAGTAAAATGTTGACGCCTAATCGCCGCTCACCCAGAGACGTATAAAGCTGTGTTATATACGTCTCTGGCTCACCTAAATAACAGAGAAAATCAAAGTGTGAACAAAACCGTTCTTCAAACTTAAAACCAATTAAACAGAATTCGAACAAACCGAAGATTTGATTGGACACTCAAAAAATGTACGAGGACAATAAGCCCATGTGTTCTGGTTTACCGGTGTAAATCTTGGTCAAATAAAAGTCAGTTCACGTCCTGATAGTGTCACCGAGGCAGCGACAGGGCCAGCTGATGAGTTTATTCCAAACTTGACCTTCATATCGAAAAGGAAATATCTTTATTCGAATATAGTTATTAAGTATATAGTCATTACGGAATTACTATAGGTACTGAAAATAAAGTTAATATGTTGTTAATATGTTGTCATTCATTCCCTCCTGCAAAAATCTTTCCCCGTGATCAATATAACATGGACCCCATTGGAAATAAGCTTTCGAGCTTTCATGGGCTATCCTCAGGTTTATAGATCAATGTTTGTGTTGTATTAATTGTATAAATATAATTACCTATATCTTAAAATCAGTTATGAATTTTAGTTTCATATATATCGTCTAGACACCAGTTTCCGCGCGTTATGTATTTCCGCGCAGACATTTTATCAAGCTATATCTCGTAACTACGTGACCTGCTGGACACAACACAAGGATATTTAAGACTTTTGGCCATCGTCTGTAAACTGACTCAAAAATTATCGGAAGTTCGTCCGGAAAACATGGTAAATAATCACCGATTAAAAAAACACGCATAAATATGCAGTTTTGCTTAATGCACTTTTTATCTTGCTCAAAATGAAGCCATACCTGAAGAAACGGTGATATATTTCATTCATGGTCTTTTTTGTAGTCTGACAAACGTACGAAAATGTCGTATGCAAATGAGGCCACATCTCCTCGCCGATTTTTGTCCACTTCCGAAGAGCCAAGCAGACATTCTTATATCGATAAACAGTGTTTTCAATGAAACGTAAAACTTTTAATGCAATGAACCTCCAATTTTCACGAATTTTAAACAGAACAAATTGAGAAATAACTTACCATCAACCAAAACCGATATAAAACTGCAGAAAAAAACATAATAACAGATTCTGTATCATAACTAAATAAGTATAATAAATAATTTTAAAAAATACATGAATTCGTTCAATTTGACATCTTGAAAAATAAATTAAAAAGGTGAAATTCAAAAAAAAGTTGTTTTGATAATTAATTTGACGATCAAAGATATATTTTTTATTCCAAACGAAGCTTTTGTTCTTGCAGGTCACTGTAGAGAATTTCTTTTTAGTGTATTCGAGTTATCTTTCTTTGAACACTAAATCAAAATAGACACACGGAAACATATGACGGCTACTTCCGACGGGAGAAATTTGCTAAAAATTATTTGTTCTGATTTTTTTGAAATACAGTTTTATATTGCTTGTTTTTTGTTTCCTTTAGTAGATTGTATACATGTTTATGACAGTCTTCCGTAATTTCAACAGTGTTCTGCCGATATGAGTACGAAATCGCGGATGCGTCTTAAGTGCGCGGAAACCGGTAACCCGAGGATAATATAATATTTTAAGATAATACAATATTTTATTACTGACGATAATTTAATGCATGTAGGTTCATTAATATTTGAGCGTCCGGAGAGCTTGTAGGAAGGGGATGCCCTAATCACCTGCTCCTTGGACTGCCCCAAAAACCTGTGATATTCTGTTTAAATTTTTTAGTAATATATATGTATGTTGTACTGTAATATGTATGTCAACTGTCATGTTACATGTGATGTCTATGATCTATTTCCTGAAATAAACATTATTATTATTATTATTATTATTATTATTATAAATATAATTCCTAATGAGATCGTGATTGCGACCACCAAACTTGCCCATAGTCTTCAACAACCCGCTTCGCCCCGGGATCAGCAGGTTATTGCAAAGTTCGTCCTTTGATTTGGGCATGCTGAATTAAAAATGACGGCGGAGGTTTGGTAGTCACCTCTCGTGTTAAGTTATCTTCCCCTGCCCACATTTCAACCTCTCGCGTTATCTGCATCCCCTTCCGATACTTCAAATCCTCTGCCGATACTTCAACAATAGCCGTCAACGTCGACCTAAACTGTATAAAGAAAACTACTGGGTTTAGTTTCCTCGAAAGAAGCGTGGGATTAGAAAACAATGCTTGGATTTACTTAAGTCCTTGAATATCATAAACAGCTTTAAAAATATGGGGTTGTTAGATATGATATGATAAAGAAAGCTACAGAAACCTCTCAAATTTGTGTCGGTTGTGATGAAGTCAAATACTTCATCAGTCTGGTGTAAAACCCGCCACACCAACAGACTTATTTGAGCAGGAACCTCATCACTATTTATATACCCAAGACATAAACAAACGTCAGAAAAGGAAGTTCTCAAATAGAAGGAAATGAAATTATTCACCTACCACTAAATCTTGTAGATGACCAATATATGTAGTCTATTATTTTTTTATATATTTTTTTAAATTTAAAAACCCGTTCAAGTATGTATCTTTTTTTATTTTACTAGACTGGTCATCACTATATTCAGGAACGTGGAGATGTATATATAAAGGTAACATATAGTAATAACTAAAAGGAGGGTTCATACTTCAACTTGTGAGTTCAGTCCCCTTCTATATACCTTGCCATAGGAACACTCCCTAAATTAACAATCCCCACCGGTAATGATTTCTACATCTAACAAACAGTACCAATTATGTCAGGTTGTACCTATATAGCTACTGTTAGGAAAGTATCCTGACACATACTTCTTGCACTCTGCCATCCCAAGATGTCCTTGTGCACCAAATCTGGATACTCGAGATGAAATAGTATAGAAGATATGCCCCTGACAAACATTTACAAAAGTAAAGGTCACAGGCCAAGTCATAGGTCACAGTGACCTAATTCTTGCACTCTGCACTCCGTCATCCCAAGATGTCCTTGTACACCAAATCTGGTTACTTCAGGTAAAATAGTATAGAAGACATACTAACATTTTTTAAAGGTGAAAGTCAAAGGTCAAGTCATAGGTCACAGTGACCTTCTTCTTGCACTATGCACTCCGACATCCCAAGATGTCCTTATACACCAA